TGTTAAGTAGAAGTAGTAGAAGGTAGGTTAGTTGAAAAGATTTTGCCATCTCTACTTTTGAAGCTACAGGTAATTCAAGATAAACCTTATATGCGTCTGACTTCCAGTCACCTAGAATCTGGATGACATTAGGGGGAAGGCCTCTTTGTAGAGCCCAAGATGCGCCTCCCCTCCAAAAGGAATGAGGTGACAAACAAGTACGGTCATAACCTGCCTTAGCTAAGCATGTGCCCAGGAGAGATGAAAACAGGGAGGGGGAAAAAGGTTTACCTCTGGGCAACGTAAAGAGAGGGTAATCTGGGCTGGAGGGGAAAGTAATCGCAAGGGCAGATAGTAGTGCAGATACTGGGCAAAGGGGGTGGCCTTTGATCTCAGTAAGTGGCACTTGCAAGATTCTCTCTCCAGACTGAATAGTCTTTGACCATTTCACATTAAAGCGGCTCTAAGGTCTGTGGAGAGAAAAATGGAGAAATTTTACCTTTTCTGAGCTATCGGGGTGAAGTTTGGTCCAACATCTTCTTCCTTATTCCTATTTTATGAAAATGTATGCATATGGCAATATTCATCAACCAGTAGAACTGGCAAATCGTTTAGAATCTACAATTCCATACAAGGAGTCCCACTCATAGATTTTTCAAATTCTTTCCAAGTCGACGTCGAAACACCTAGCGATGAAATTGAAACTAATTTTTCTGGCTGCTCGAATCGATAAAATCTCTGATAGTATATGAGTCTTTTTATGAAATCTTTCTGATAGAAAACACTTAATTAATATTAGAAAGCATTAAATGTTGAATCCGAAGCGTAATCTGAAATAAAAGTGAAAAAACATTGCGCCGACGTCAGAGAACAAACTTTCGGTTTAATAAAAAATGGCTGACGTCGAAGGAGAAATTATGACGAAGAATTAGAGGATTTTCCTTTGCCATTATCGATCGTTACAAGGTATGTGCACAAATTCTAGTTGCTTACATGGAAAATAGATACATTTTTAAAGGCAACAACATATTCAAAGCTTTCATTTTACGATAGGCCCAGGATCATTGGATACGACTCGGCAATCGATATTCCCACTTTAAGTAAGACCCCCCAGGGAAAAATTGTTACATCTTTCCTGCACAAATGTTTGCTCTTGACAAACTCTGAAGTTAACACATTAGATCTCCTAAACAGGCCATAGAAAGCAACTAAACAGACACCCCAGAAAACCAATTATACAAGCATTTTATGATGAATTATCTTTGAATTTTGACAAATTCATCAATTCAGCCGTTTGAATCAAGCAGCCAAACTTAAATCATAATTTAATTGCTTAAGAAAAGTATATCAAAATCTTTTGGATTGTTATTCCATGTACATTATTATTGTGTGTAATTTACGCAATCCACGGTGTGATTCATCCCGGAAATTATTTTTGAAAAATGAAAACATTTTTGAATTTTTCCAACTTTGAATAAAAATCGTGCACTAGTCCCTAAACTAAAGAACATATGAATGACTTACATCCGTGCATCTTCTGTAAATACATCATCAGATATTATCAAACCAACGTCGAAGTACCTATAAGATGAGATATTATTTTAAATGTTACCTGTTTTACCTGTTCCCTCCTCAACTTTTCCAATATGGCGGCTAATTAGGTCAGAGTTCAAATGAGGTCAAAACAGGTGCGATCATGACAAGCAAAAACTAATTAAAATAAATCCCTGTTTTTTACATAGAAGTTTTTTAATCAATTGATGTATACTTAATTTATGTTTTTGAGTAAGGTTTGATTCTATTCTACAGTTAGCGTCAAAATACTGAATTCTCAGAACGAATACCTTCTAAATTTTATGGGCTACAGCTTCTTGTACTGAAAAAGGCGATTTTGCGGCGGTAAGCTCACGGTTTATGAGACTTTGAACCGATGTTATTTGAGTTCATATGAATATGTTTTATAATTATTCAGTGTCAGATTAGTCTCCAATCATGATCAAATTGACCCTAGCATGGGCTTTCAACTAGAGTCACAGGCCTGTCATCTTAGGAACAGCCCCCGGGGAACACCCTAACTTACTTCGGTCCAAAGCCTTCTCTATATTCCGGCTTTGAGGAGGAAGATTGAGCTGCCTTAGTATTATAAATATTGTAAATCATTGTGTCACACGCACAGTAAATATGGCATAATAATATGAAATATACCTTTATGTATAGATTTGAAGAACATCAGCTCACATCCCCGTCTGAATCTATTGTTATATTTGATTTCTTTAAGCGAGAATAATTTCAAATGTTATTCACGTCCAGAACCGGAAGCCATTTTTAGCTTCAGCGAGAAAATTTCACCATGTGTCAAACTCCGAAATGAAATTTTGAAATATCTAAATCCAGACAAGCAACGCTTCATCCTAAATATGATTAATATTCTTAAAAATATTTATAAAATTTATTAAAAATGAGTTCTAGGTGCGTGTAGGTGCGTGTAGCACAGTACATACGAAATCAATGAAGTTTCGTCTAGCTGTAAGCTAGAGACTCGAGTAAACCCTAACAATGTTATGAGTGACTTACAAATGTTGAACACCTTCCTTTAAAATTGTGAACACCTTGGTTCAAAACTGAACACCTTGGTCAAAATACTGGACACCTCAATCGCCTGAATCCTGCGACCCCCCCTGTGGGGGTGTGCGATTGTTGCAAAAATAAAGCATTTTAATAGCTCTTTTCTTCTTCTTTCTCATGGTTTTATTTTTATTGGTTATGGGGGGATGCAATTGCACCCAAAAAATCTTTCAAAATCATGTAGTTTTTCACCAAAAAAATTCAAAAAGTGAACCCCCCTTGGCAAATCCTGGCTACAGGCCTGACACCCCCTGGTTACGCCTGTGAGGTAAAAAATTTCGAAGCAAATGCGTGACATATACAGAATTCCCGCGAATTTTCCGAACAAAATGCGTTCGTCTTTCTTCAGTGTTCGTTTTTTTTTATGTATCGACATTCATTTTTTTGAAGTTCTTCTACAGAAATATTTTTGCTTGACAATTATCAGGTAAAATGCGTATTTGCGTAACATATTCTGTCACGCAAAAAAAGCTTGCATGACTTCAATTTCTTCATTAAAGGCGTGACAAATACGCAAATTGCGGGACAGTTGGACGGCCTATATTCAGTCTTGCCTCTCAGTCTGTCACTCCTGCAGAGGCGCTATCTCAACTGGAAGAACTGTGAATCTGGAATGTAAGCTTACTATAAAATATATGTTTGAGAATAATAATTTGAAATTTAGACCCTCTCTTATATGCCCTCTTTGGTGCATTCTCAGCATATCTGAAACCCATCATATTTGTATCATTAAATACAAATCTCTCAAAAAGTGGGTGCCAACACCACCCCCTTTGGATGGGCTTGTATGATCGTGTTTGGGTAGTCTAATTTGTGTTTATCTCTTCAAAAATGCATTTATCTGGGAGGGCTGGCAGGGCCACACACAGTCGATGGGTTTTCAAACAAAAGAGTGTTCTTTCAGAAACGGATTTTCCTATATATGCCTAAGACTCTTATCTCAAGGATAGAATGCACAAACAAAGCAAAAGTTTTGCTATAATAGGCAAAAAATCTTGATGTGATTTTACTTGTTAATTCTGCATTTAGTCCGCCATTTTTATCGGAACTATTTTCTTTACACGGAAACACAAATTTCATATTTTTCGACTTAATGTTCAATTTTTAGCAAAATGTGCCAAATTATTATTTTTTTATTCTTCTGTATATCTTTTCATCAAATTCCAGGAAACTGCAGTATATTGCCATGCCAAGATCAATTTATACTACAGGGGCCATCTGTGCGAGGTTCCATGCGCATTAAATCCAGCGATTTGATTAGTTAAATTATTTTGCTGATGTGCAATCAATCACTAATAACTACATATAATTTTAGATAGATGTCACTTATGTTCATTATTTCACAGCAGTCCCTACCCTCAATTCACCTTATATTGCAAGAATATTTTTTCCTTTAGTGTAAAAACAATAACTCCCAAATCCAACGTATGTTTTCTATTTCTTTGCAATAAGCTTTCGTTTGGTATATAAACTAAAACTGGACTAAGTCGTACAGATGCTGTGTTATTTATGTGGTGGACAGTTTGAATTAAAAATATTTAAAAAACAATTTACCCCTATATTTGCATTTCAATTCTTAAATAAAATTGAAATTGTTCACAAAAATCTACATTTACATGTAGGTATTTCTCTTGAATACCCAGAGTGACGGATATATCCGTCACAAATGAAATAAGACTGGTGCCCAGAGGGACGAGAAAATCCGTCACAAAATTTTTCACAAAAATTGCTCTCATTTGAACAATTTTCATCCAATTTACACAAAAATTGTTTTAAAACGTGTAGAAATGATCTCTGCCATCCAATTTTACTAAGCTGAGCATCTAAAGTTGTATAGGTATGTAATAAAATGTCAAAAGGTGGCAAAAAATGAAAAATTCTCTGGTTTCATGCCAATTTTAGAATCTGGGATTCAAGAGGTTAAAAACCAAACTGAAATAAACATTTCAATAATTGATACACTAATAGTAATTTTGATAGACAATTCTGTTCAAGAATGGGTTTCATCATTCTGATACTAATAGCATCTTTCTGTTTCACCTGAAACTCAGGGCTGGGAAGAAATGAGATGTCATGGTGTATCATGATGGGGTTTCATGGGGTAAAAGTTTTTAAAAAAAACTTGTAAGTGGAAATATAGAAAGTTTCACATCAAATAATATTTTAACTTTGGCAGTAATTGCCAAAATGATGCCATCACATAATAATAATAAATATGATAAACAGTGTAGTTTATACTAGTTAATAATTAATTTATATTTCTGTTCATTATCAAACATGTTTTATTTGTTTCAACAATCAACTCGCTGATAACTCAGGTAAACCAGGATTACTCATCAACTAGCTCTGGACTTTCAACCCTTTTCTCAATTCAAACTCTCTATATTACACCGCCATTTTGTATAGAAATTCATGTAGATTTTAAACTGAGCTATGTTAATTTTGAAATTTGTCGCATTTGCGGCAGTTTTTATACCAGAATCTCTCGGGCAAATTTTTGGTAAGTTTTTGTGTATTTTGTAGCTGTTTAACTATATCGCTTCTATGTATATTGATATGAAATTCTTAAGTAGCATTTACTTCCTATATCGTACAGTGTCATAAGCTATGTATAAAACCATTTTTTATTTTTACCATTATTTTCAAAACAATCTTCACTTATGAATAAACTCTTTGTTAGATTTATTTGGGTTTGAGTCAAAAAATATGGGAAATCTACTTTACTGATTAGATTTGTAAAAATTGTATTTAATGAGAATTTGTATTATATCTTTATATAAGTATTGCTCACCTTATATGTTTTATCTTCAAATAAATACATTTTTAAAAGGTGATATCATTTTCATCATTAACTACTAAGATAACTTTCAGTGCATAGTTTCTACATTTGTTACAATTGTTTCAACATAAATATGTTCAAAATAGTATTTTCATTAGTTCGATGGCAATTTACTAGTACTATATGCTGATAACTAATATATATTTCAAGAGAATCATAGATGAAACACAAGGTTTTTTTGTTAAATTTATTCATCAGGGGCTTCAAAATCATACTTTTTTCACAATTTTGAGCACTTATTTAGTTATTTTCCGGCGAAATTTTCAATTTGCGCCCCCTGGAATGTTTTTTAAAAACTGACCACCCCCTTGGCAAAAGCTGGCTAAACGGCTGGTTCAAGATCAAAAAACTAAAATTATATTGTATATCAGGGGTTGCATTCATGAATTAAAACAGATAAAAACAACAGTCAAAAGAAATAAAAACTACAGTCAAAACAAATATAAAAACCTCAGTCAAAACAAATAAAATCTACAGTCAAAACAAATAAAAACTACAGTCAAAACAATTAAAAACAACAGGCAAAACAAATAAAAGCTATAGTCAAAACAAAAATATGATGGGCAAAACAAATAGAAACTACAGGCAATACAAAATGAATAAATGCTATACAGAACAAAATGAATAAAAACTCTAATCAGTGCAAAATTATTGTAAATGAAACAGAACAGGCTGAAATGCTTTTATGTATTTCTTTTCTAAATTAAAAAAATTATAACCCAATCAGTTTTGTTCATTTTTAAATATAGATAGACATAATTTTTTTTGAGTGTTTTTCACCCAATTTCTGCTTGTGTTTTAGATTGTCCCCCTGGATGGCGGGAATACTTGGACAGGTGCTATAGGTTCCAGAGGTTCCCTTACTCTGACCTGGCTGGTGCCAAAATATCATGTAGTGTAAGTTAGATTTTGTTGAGGCCATGTTTTGCGTTATACCAAAAAATGTATTGTGTTCTCTTGAAAACCCATGTTATAAACATACACTGACACATTTCCAGAGGTTCCCTTACTCTGACCTGGCTGGTGCCAAAATATCATGTAGTGTAAGTTAGATTTTGTTGAGACCATGTTTTGCGTTATACCAAAAAATGTATGGTGTTCTCTTGAAAACCCATGTTATAAACATACACTGACACATTTCCAGAGGCTCCTTTACTCTGACCTGGCTGGTGCCAAAATATCATGTAGTGTAAGTTAGATTGTTATGTGTTGAGACCATGTTATCTGTGATGCCAAAACTGTATGGTGTTCTCTCGAAACCTATATGGTATAACATACACTGTCAGATTTTCATGGAGTTCTAGTAGAGATAGATGTGTTTGAATCATCATGTGCATAACACATTTCCATTTAGTCCTGAGCTCAAACATTTTATCAGTTTTATAAAGGGGATGAAACTTTGGCAAGCTGTACCAAAAAAGTAATAGATACTTTGATCCATCTGGATTCAATGAATCTTATGCCTAACAGAAAGATGGCAGTAGTAGTATTGTTGATCTAGTCCCTATGGTTTAACCCATATCAATGTCTATAGTTTCATATTTAGTAGAAATATTCAGGGAACTACATAATTTATGGTTAGACCTTTTAAAATCCATACAAACACACTATCATAATATGAGATAATAATGATATATTGTTATAGTCTCCAACCTTTTTGTGGTTGGTGTTTGGCATTCAGAGCTGGCTTTCGGCATCTGTAACAAATGGTGGGTGGTGACATTTTGCATGTTCATGCCTTGTTTCTCTACTTACAGGACAATGGAGCCACTTTGTTGAGTGTCAATGACAATGGGGAACATGGGTTTGTGGAGCAGACGTTCAATACTATCGACCCTGGACCTGGCAGGTAAATTATCACAGTTATTTATGTTAACTAGCCTTGCCCAAGTCGGTATTTTTTACTTATCTGATCTTGAATTATTACCGCCTTGTACAATCCAATACATCTCCGCTGCTATTATGCTGAGATATTCAACGGTTTCGAGATTTCCATAATACCTACGCTATCAGGGGTATCGCGAAACCTTATCGATTAACAGATATACGCGTGGACACGACGTGTGACTTCAGGCTTATTGACCAATCAAAACGTTATCAGGTTGAGCTGCACAGCAAAACAATCTTCCCGTCTACGACTTGAAATTCAATGATCTGATCGATCGTTTCTTTAGAGTTACAATATATTATGTAATTAAATGTACATAGGGAATGTAAGAGTCATTAATCTAAATTAAATCATGCAATAGATTTAAAACTGATCTCGCGATGAAAATGCAAGACCTTAGTCCTAGTCCAATGTAGCGGGTCATGTAGTCGTCGATCAGTGATTGAATCTCAGCCTACATGTTCATTTGAATTCAGCGATCGTTTCAACGTTTATTGTTGAAATCTTCTAACCTCCGGTTACCGATCGATGTCTGGCATCCACTTAACTCTGATTGATATTTATCTGATAAAATATTTGTATTTTCATGATGAATTCATGCAAGATTTGTTCGTGAAAAGTCCAGACGAAAAGTGTACTTGTTTTTGACCATGCATAATAATGAGCTAACGCTGCAGGGCCGTCGTTGATTGGTCAAATTTTACCGACATAAACATTGAGTCGGTAAAGCACGTGGCTTTCTCTTTGGTACAAGGCGGTCATAATAGAAATCAGATAGTATAAGAGACCGACTTGGGCAAGGCTATATGTTAACCAGTGAACAAGTTTTGTTTTGAATCTCTAAAAAAAATTTACATTATTGTCAACCTGTTTGCTAACATTGCCAGTGACTCACTTTTCTTGTCTGTCTACATCAAAAAAAAGTATGTTTATGATACAGGCAACGCTGGTACACAAGTGGGCGCCGTAATCCTTCACGTCCCTGGCAGTATTATTGGGAGGGGGATGGCACAGATATTCAGAGATTCGAGGCTTGGAAGGATGATACAGAAAAAGAGAAGCCAACGCCAGACAATATCATGTATGCTTGGGATGGTAAGTGCCATTTTAAACTTATTTTTAGTCTAGCTACAGGCCCTTGTGATCCCCCACTACACACCTCCCCACAAGAGTGTAAAGGTGTGTTGTCAAGTAGGGGGAGGAGGGTCACAGGGTTTCTAGCTCGACAAACTTATTTTGAACTAAGATCTGTCCCTGGAGAAATTTCAGTGATACATTTCTACTGATGGAGTAAAAGCTTCAATACCTTGAAACATATATTTAATATCTGTATAGTCCATTCTCTGGAGTAGCCAAATTTTTGTCCAGGTTTTATTGAGTGTACATTTGACTCTTCACTCAGAGCTCAGCATCTTCGACTATGATTGTGTTCATCTGTGAAATAGATTTCAATAGTCATTTATAGATGTCACTGTATAGGTAATTCTTTACTCAATTTAGGATGTGTGATAATAATGGAGTATTCATTTACTTTCAAGAGTTTAAATTGCCAAGTATGTGATATTATTTTTATCCTATGCTGGAAATAAATTGTATTTAGATTTAAAATACTGAATATTACTGGCTGTGTAGTATCAGAAATCAAAGACTTAACAAGAAACAGGGGAACATCTTGGAAAGTTCATGGTGATTTGCACTTCTCAGTGCTTTCCAGTTAGGTGTTAACAGTTTCACAGCAGGTGTCTCATTATGATCTTGCAGCCAGTGCTGTTTTGGTGCAACAAGGAAAAAAGTGTGTAATTTGTCACTGTGCATCTTGTTGAAAAACCAGGCTTACTATTTGAAAATGAAACGTCATGAAAGGTCAAAATATCACAAAATTTAGTGTAAGGAATCACCATGTGAGCCCACCAAATGGTGCAATTTTTAAAAACTTGAGGCCCTTTTTACAAACAGATAAATTTCTTAAAAAAGATGACCCCCTGCACTTTTCTGTTCACAAAAATTAACCCCTGGTATTGTATGTGAGGGATAAGGTACTAGATAGTCATAAGTATAGACATGTGTGCTGTTGATTTTTCTGCTCTTATCACCTCATTATGCAGATACAAGTAAAAGATAAGCAAAAAACAAAATAAGCAAACCACAAGTTTCAAAACATTCCCAAATCTTTAATGGTTGCTTACGAAATGTGGAAATAGATTGTGGATTTTGGTCTTTAGGTCTTCATGGATGCTTATGGTTTTGAGATAATCCTTTGACCTTGTCTTACCAAATCAGCTTATGGTAAACCATATCCAATCAAAATAGCTTTTAGGTTATTTAGATCTGATCTTACCAGCAAAATCCGGAATATTCAGTTTTTCTAACTTCTCATGTATTTTTGCTTCTCAATTTTCACATTTTTACATGGATATTTACAAGTTAAGTTACAAAATAGAATTATTGCAATTAATTGTTGGCATTCAGTAACCCCAATTATCCAGATAACCAAATCTTACCCAAATTGGCTTTCTATTTTAGATTTTTCCATGTTTGGAAATCTTGTTTTTGTAGCCTACTCCCAACCATGAATGCCTTAGTTATTCGACACTATTTAGTAGTTACCTTTCCGTGCCAAAGATTTCCCATTGGTCACCATGTTAAGTTCTCTACATTCCTCTCTAAAATTTGAATAAAGGATCTGATATTCTTAAATTTCTATATGATTTAGAATATTGACTACATGCCTATTTACTTTATTCCTTGCTGATTCCACTCTTTTCACAATATTTTACATTTCAAAAATGTGACCTGGATGACATTTTTCTTTTGGGAATAGCTGCTGTTGTTGATTTTTTCCTTCTTATCAGTCATTATGCAGATGCAAGCAAGATAAGTAAAATGAGTTTGGAGCAGCTGGGGTTTCTGGGTAATCTGAGAATTTAGCACTTGACAGATTTCACACATGGAGGGTCCTGGTTTTCAATACCCTGCGTGCAGAGTCTAGTTAAACTACACTCTGCCTAGTAGAGACCATATTACAGTTTAGAAGCTTTTGACCTACGCGCTGACCTTTCTTCCACCAATCAGCGAGCTTGAAGAAACATACGCCAAAAGCGTTCTAATTAAATAGGCGCATGTCATTGGGCTCAACGATGATGTCAGAAGGAATTACCATATATAGAACGTCGGTCAAATTTTGCCGACAAACACTGATTGGCGCGGTGAGTTCACAGGTTTATTTTAGTTTGAAAGAGTGAAGACGAAGCTCTCTTTTAAGAAGTGAAGTCAAACGAATGCAAAGGGTAGGTTTTCAATAGACTCAAATTTCAATAAAGTGTTTTTCTAGAATGAAAAAAAATTAACATTTGACTTTTTTTGACTGTTTCTACAAAAGAAAGTGGTAAGAAAGTATTGCCTTTCAACTCTCGTGCTTTGCACTGACTGAAGTCACCAAGGAGCAGACCAAAAATAGGGAGCTAAATCTGAACTTCATTGGTAATAATTTCTGGTCCCCTTTATTTATGATTTGTTCATGTATTCTGAATCACTAGTGGTATCCTGAGTGAATAAAAAGGGTAATTGTGATTTTGGAATTCTGGGCATGATTGCTCATGTGAAAAATTATTCAGTTTTTTTAGTTAATGTTTTATTTATTCATAATTCCATTCTACAAATAAATACAGGGCCTACACCGAAGTATTATTGGCCTTGATGGTTACAATGGTAAAATACAATAGTAGGTTATGAATGCAAATATGATAGATATAAAAAATAGATATAATATATTTTGATAAGAAATAATCATGAAAACTCGAAGACAGATTATAAGGTGTATGTGTAAGATTAACCCCCCTCACCATCCTGAAATTCTACTTTTGTAATAGTTTTTCTTCCTCTAAAGGAGAGCTTCATCTTCCAATATTTTACTTGGTTCTCTGATACTACTCTGATTTCCCATATCTCTGATTTACAGTAGGCTAGTGTGAAGGCATGTGGCTAGCTTTGATAATTTGTTTCTAGATGAGAGAGAGAAGCAGGCGTGTGATCTGTTTGTTTCCAATGTTTACTTAGTGCTCTTATCTACTCATTATGCAGATACATCTGTCAGATAACTAGCCTCATAGAGATTTATGAGTTTTTCTGTTGCATCCTGAAAACCAACTCCTGTTGTTACATTTCTTTCTTTTCAGAAAATATCTTTCTGTTTTTTCAGTGTCTCTCTTTTAAATGCTTGTAATAGAATTCATATTTTAAATATCCTAAATATTTAATGTACATTTTGGCTCAATTTATGTGGGTGTTTTACAATGAAAAAACTATACTCCAAATATTATTTCTAGCATTGAAATCCACTAAATTACATGCAATTTAAATTTGAAAATAAATAAAATGAATAAATCAGTCAAATAAGACTGCAACCGCATTACAAATGATAAATTGCCATTGAATTTCCTATCCATGCCTTTCAACTCTGCGTTCTATTCAGCTTCTTTTCATCGCACGTTCATTCACTCATGTGTGATTCATTGTGAATTTCTACACTAGTGAACAGTTAAGTGCTGAATAAACATATCAAATTTTCACAGCTTTCCTCATTATGATTTTTCAACGAAATCGGGCATGTTGTGATTGGTCAGAATTTCTGTTTGCCATGGGGATTTAGTACTTTTCACCACAATTGACATCTTAGTGTACTTAATGCCCTATGAAAATATATAAATAAATTGTATTGAACAACCTTGCTGTGTGAATAGAGTACTCTACTATTTATATGAAAGGAGACAATGATGATTTTTCCCATGTATATTTACAAAGTACAAGTAGAATTCACTATTTAGCCTTTGACTGTTATCACCATGGTAACATAAACATACAAGTGCGACATAACATACAGGCGATGCAGAATGGTGCAACAAAGTGATTTCAATGCGAAAAACAGCGCGAAAATATATAATTTTATACAGGGGTGTATCGAAATTGGAAAGCTTTCCATTGTGTTTTGAGCTTGTTTTCTTCCATTTGAATCCACTCTCAAGTACATGGCAAACAAATTAGGGTCTATTCAGATATCTCATTATGATTTTTCAAGCTTTTTAGGAATAATTCTGTGCTGATTCTTTCCTGTGATTGGTCTCTTTGCATTTCCCTGAATTGACTGATGCAGTCTCCAAATGTAGGTCTCCGTATATCTTCTTGCTTGCAGAGAGAGAGGATGATGTGTAGAGTCCTACATTTTGGAGGTTGATTGATTGATTTACAATTTGTTGTTATTAAGTTTTTATTTTAATTATTTTCAGTAATTATGATTTATCAGAGTCTCTCTTTATCTAAAGCTTGTGAAAGTGTAGATCCTACAATCTTACTTGTGGTATCTATAGCCTTGGCATCATGACATTGCATCTGTCCTTTTTTGCACAGTTAACAGTTCCAAATGTTACAAAAATTGGGGAAATACGGTATCAATCCCATAATCAAAATATTTTGATTTTGCACTTTGTATTTTACAATGATCTATAAATATCTGCATAAAATGTAAAAAAAATATGAACCATCATTAATTATTGATCATTATAACCAGTTTCTTTGGCTTACCAAAAGGGGTCAGGATTTATTGAAAAGGCCTATTGGTTCCATACTTGTTCATTTTCAACCATAGAAACTTCATACCTTGGATTGGTTCAACGTGGAGGAGACTTAAAAACCAAGTGGTACAGAAAAGCAAACAAATTAGCTCATTATGATTTTGCAAACATGGCCGCTTGTTTTTTTCATCTGGCAGGAAATCAATGCTGCTGGAATGTATAGATCTCCACTGATATTAAGCACTCAAGTCTTCCTTGCGTGTCACTAGATTATTTGCATGATCGATGATAGACTGTACTCTGTGCCCTTTTTGCCATCTGTGTAGTAATACGGACTGCATTCATTTCTTTCATGATGATATGTTCTTCAACAATTATAGATTTTCATTGGCATAATACATTGTCACATATATCATCTTATTATGTATTTAAATTAATTGTATTGTGTCATGCAAGATTTTATTAAAAATTTACTATGTGCCATCTGCGTTCATTTTCACGCAATAACTAAGGATGTAAGACATATTA